TTTTAACCACTGGTCGTGGTAGTCTTAATTGTGCTTTTTTTCTTCTTTCTCTCGTTGCATCAGACGGAGATTATCAAGGGGACATGTGGCAGCGTGGGGATGACGTTCAGGCACGTCACTGCCAGTGAGGGCGATGCGGTGCACGTTTGCATCGAGACAGTTTTGCCCAACTCCCCGGCAGCGTTGGCAGAGCTGCAAAAGGGTGATCGTCTCATTGAAATTGGAGGTCCGAGGTGTTTGTGTTACTTTCTAACATGAACGTCTTTCGTTTCTTTGCACTTCTAATTTGAAACTCGCATGATCTCATTCTTCTTTTCTCGTTAACAGGTGTTAAAGTGACGTCCTCGGTTCAGGTACCAAAACTGTTAAAGCAGGCCGGAGAAAAGGTGTTGGTACTTTACGAGAGACCAGTACGTCATCAGACTCCCTCTTTGGGAAACCAGGCAGCTCTGCAGGAAGGACTTGCTCAGCTGGAAGAAATTGGTTTCATGTCCCAGCAAGCAGGCTATGAGGAAGAGCCAGCCCCCATCAGCACCCTTTCTGACCTGTCTGACAGCAAAGACATAGACTCTGAGTTTGAAGAGTTGATTGTGGAATCCAAGTCTAGTGGTGGCACTGCTGGGCAAAATACCACAATTATCAGTGAGGCCAAGGAGGATTTCTTACTTACAGTAAACCAAAGCCCCAAAAGGACTGTAGCCAACCTGGCTTCCAAGCCTCTTGGTACCATATCACCCATCCTCAACCGCAAGCTAAACCTGGTGGGTCTCCAGTCACCACTAAAGCCCCAGCCCAAAGAATCACCAAAGCCCTCCCCACAAAAGACCAGTAGTGATCCAGGGGAGGTTCTGCAACGCCCTACTGTCCCTCCCCCACCTCCCCCTTCCCGCCCTCCGGTTCCACCACGACCGCAGATCAGGTTGACGTCGGCATCCTCCGAAACGAGCCTTTTGGAGAGTGTGGATTCGGCAGCTGCTAACGTCACCGCTGCTCCTTCCGTTACGAAGACGACCAGCGCTTCAGAAAAGTCTCCAGAAAAGGTTCAGCGCACTGGACCCGGCGAGGACAAGTCTGAGAAGGCATGTGTCAAACAGATGGAGGCGAAACAGTCCAGCAAGGCAACGGACACGAGTGAGGAGGTACCTCCATCAACTGTGACCAGCAGCAGGGCTGATCAAGCGAAGGACAAAGCATCAGAGAGCTCCTCCAGTACACGGGACAGCGTAGAGGACCACTCCCTCTGGGAATCCACAGAAACCATGTTTCGTAGCCAAACGGCACACTGGTCCAAGGCGTCTGTGGTGTTTGAGGTGGAGAGCAACCATAAATACCTTAATGTGGCCCTGTGGTGCAAAGATCCCTTTAAACTGGGCAGTCTGATATGCCTGGGTCATGTGAGCCTCCAGTTGGAGCACATAGCTCTGGAATGTATGGCCACATCTTCAGGAGAGTACCAGAGCACCTTCAGGTTGGGGGCTCCGGAGCCCAGAGCTAACGTCAGTCGCACCGCGTTACGCAGTCTCAGCACCCACAAAGGTTTCAACGAGAAGCTGTGTTATGGCGATGTTACTTTAAACTTCTGCTACTTAGCTGAGGGGGAGCTGGACTATCCGGTTGGGCTGGTGGAAAGAGAAGCAGAGGGCAGTGTTCAGGAGGAGGACCTGAGGGAGAGGGAGCCCGTCCCTGCGGCGCCGCGCGAGGACTTGACCTACAGCGCTCTGCAGTTGCAGGAGGTCCGTCATAACTTCCAGGACACTCAGTTCCAGAACCCCACCTGGTGTGAGTACTGCAAGAAGAAGGTTTGGACCAAGGCAGCCTCTCAGTGTATGGTCTGCGCCTACGTTTGCCACAAAAAGTGCCAGGAGAAGTGCCTCGCTGAAAACCCTTTTTGTGTGGCCACCGCCGAACGCCGTGGAGCTGACCTCGAAGCCAAATCCACCATAAACCGCGCCACCACGGGTCTAACTCGCCACATTATCAACACCAGCTCCCGTCTGCTTAACCTTCGCCAGGTGCCCAAGGCTCGGTTTACCGAACAGGTAGCCGACGTGGTGCCGGGAGCGGTGGAGCCCTCGCCTAAACACACCCCCAACACGTCTGACAATGAAAGCAGCGACACTGAAACGTACACTAGTGGTGCCAGCCCGTCAAAGCAGCCAGCTGGGAGCGGTGGGAGCAGTAAACTGGTACGTAAGGAGGGCGGGCTGGACGACAGCGTGTTCATAGCTGTGAAGGAGATAGGTCGCGACCTTTACCGGGGGCTGCCCACAGACGAGCGCTCCCAGAAGCTGGAGTTGATGCTGGACAAACTGCAGCAGGAAATTGACCAGGAGCTGGAGCACAATAACACCCTTCTGCTGGAGGAGAGGGAAGCCGCAGATGCACGCCGCAAGGCCCTTATCAGCACCGCCCTGGCCAAGTCCGGGGAGAGGCTCCAGGCCCTCACCCTGCTGATGATTCACTACCGCGCAGGGATTGAGGACTTGGAGTCGGTGGAAAGCACTTCTCCTTCAGAGCAGCGAGGCTTTAAGGGCAAAGAAGAAGGTCTGGAGGAGGAGGCCCTCCTGGGGACAGAGGTGTACGACAGCGACATGTGCAGCCCTGTAGATGTGCCGCTGCTGGACGACATCACCGAAGAGCAGATCTGCGTGGAGGCTCTGCACTAGAATAAGACTGTGCATTTAAAATACGGGGATGTGGGCGTCGAGCGTCACCTGTAATTTGTGTTTGTTTCCTTTTTCATGTGAAAATGAAAATTGTTTCACGGACGGTGAAGCCGTTATTGATCTACTGATTTCCATGCTCGAGGTTTTTAAGGGAAGAATGAAAGTTGCACGTGAGTTATCGAACGCCAGCTGCACATTGATCCCTTTGGTTTCCTGCGACCTGAGAATGTCACTGTATGCATTAATGCAGGTTGCTGTCTTACCTTTATTTTGGAGAACAATTATGAAACATGAAGAGCAACAGGGTTTGTATTTTGTTGGCTGAAGGATCCAGTCTTGATTTTTCTTTTGTAAGATGTTTGAATGAGTCATCACAGTGATCGTTGGGCTTTCACTTCTGCACATGGTGTCGTTTATATATTGTTTTCCTCTGTTTTGATTGGTTGGTCTGTATTCAGACCATCTGTTGTTTTTATTTTATTCTTCTTTAAACGTCCCTGGGTGCAAGATGATCCATCGAGTTATGAATATTTCTGTGTTATATTTCGTTAACATTCCTCCAGTGTGCACGGCGGTTCTGTGGCACGTTGTTGTAAGTGTGAGAGAGACTCTGAATGAATGTGACCCGGCTGCTTTAGCTCCTGTGTTTTTAATCCACACCTGGTTTCATCCTGATTGCCTTTAAGTTGTTTCCAAATGTCTGATCTTTTCCACGTTGTGTCTGTACAGCTGTTCGGCACCACCCTCCCTCCGCCCGTCCTTTAACATGCTGAGCATTAAGTCTGTTTGTGTCAAAAACAGCTATAGCTCCCAAAGCGCCATGATCTCCATTCACTGTTTACAGCTGCTAAGAACAAGAAGACATCTGCGTGTTGGGGAAATCTGCCCTAAACCCTGAACACAGTCTGTCGTTGGCTTCGTCCTTTATTTTTCTATTTAGCGTCACAGCGCATACGGGAAGCAGCTCTGTGTCATGTGATGCTACAGAAGGAGATGTACTGTATGAAACGCTCGAATAGAAGAAGCCTTTTGTTGTTAAATAGACTTCATATGTAAGTTATGAGCTGAAACACTGCAGAGAATGAAGTACAACAGCAGCAGGTTTATTGTTGTGACTACGAGGATGTCTCATCTCTGCTGACAGCTGATGTTATTCACCTGTGACGGTTTCCTCGTGGCTTCTGGTTGAACGTGTCACTTTGTCAGTGGAGAGCAGGTGTGAATGGGTGAAGCTGACCTATTCAAAAGCCGCGAGTGAAGATCTGCATAGAGGCGAGCCTACAATCTGCTCTTCACACTCCAGTGTTACCGACTGCAGATTCAACAAAGGGCATGTTCCTGTCTGCTGTGGTCAGTCTGTTGCTATGTGCTGTGGATATTCACACACTGGTTGCTATAGCTGTCTTTTGATCTTTTTGTGCAATATTTGTTTTATAAAGCACTTCTGCTGCATTTCCTCGTCCACTGAGCTCACACTCACATGCTTCTGCCTCCACTCACAGCCCGAACCTTGGAAACTCCACAGTGAGTAAAAGCTCCGCCCACTGCTCTGACCACTGCTTTCAGATTGAGATGGTGTGTTTTTTGTGTGTATGTATGACGGATG